ATTCCTCTCCTCAGAATACTGAATTCAAATAATTATACACAAGTCTGTCTCAAGTTACTTATAATTTCAAGTGAGAAAATGAAGTAGGTAACCTCTTGAAGACAACTGATAACTGATTTGACAGACTAGGAGGTCTGTCTGTGTAACAACTTCTCTGCTCAAAAATATCAGCAGTGTGTGTGCTACTTGGAAAACAAGCATTTTTAAAGAGATTGAGAGGAATATATTAGAGTACTGATTGATAATTCAACAGCAAATCTTCATTTTTTATTTATAGGACCAACATCTGGGGCTAGGGGTGTGTTCAGTGATAGAGTGCTTGATTAGTGTGCACTATACACTGTGTATAGTCCCCAGTACTGAAGAAGTGAAAAAGAACACAGAAGGACCGATGTTAAGAATAAAATACATATATAGACAGTTGATGCTCACTTATTAAATATGACAGAAGATATTGAAGGCCTTTCATCTGATGGCTTGTGTTTTGAAAATTATGTTTTTCCTTTTCTATCTGTAGTGGCTTTCAACTTCATTGTCAATGATACTCGAAAAAGGCCAATTTGGAACATTCTGATGTGGGCTTCCCTTTTCTTGGGGCAGGGAGTAATTGTTTGCTTTTATTCTCAAGAATGGTACGCACGTCAACACTGTCCTCTGAAAAATGTGAGTCAATAAATCCAACTGGAATGCAAGCTTACTTGTCCCCTGATGGGCTTGATGGGTCACACATAGTAAAGGTAGTTACTAAGGAGATTATGATGAATTTGGTAATAGGATGGAAATATGAAGTAGTTTATTATCTGATCTTATTTTACTTTTCTTGAAATTTCTTGCTTTTTAAGTTCAAATTGAACTTAACCTAGCTATTGGTTTTCTTTCTTATTCCTTTTCCGCTTTTTCTTCAGCCTTTACTAGTGTTTTTCCTGTCACCTGAAAACCTAGGTATTCTCCAGTTTTCCTAATGGCATGTATGTTCTACCACCTAAACATCATAGATGCCAAGAGATAATAACTATTTGGAATTTGGACAGAAGTCCATGCAATTGTTTAGTTTATTGAATATTATAAAATTCATGGGGCCAGGCATGGTAGCACTTGCCTGTAATCTTAGCATTTGGGAGGCTGAGACAGGAGGATCATTACAAATTTGAGACCAGCCTGGGCTAAACAGTGAGTTCTAGGCCAGCCTAGACTGCATAGCAAAACCCTATTTCAAAAAGACAACAAAACAAAACTTAATGGAAAGTTTTAAATTGAACAAATTAATACATATATGAAAAACACTTACCTTTTGTGTTAGTGAGCTTCTTACAGCTTAAAGGTTACTGGATGCTAAGGGGAGACCTATGAATATGCCGTATATGATATTGACACCCCTACAGGAAAGCGCTTATTCTGCTGAGCCATCTCCCCAGCCCTTGACACCCTGACAGACGCCCGTGCCTGATACACAATGATCACAAACCATTTTTCTTTTTTTTTCCCCATCATAGCCCACATTTCTGGATTATGTCCGGCCACGTTCCTGGACTTGTCGTTACGTGTTTTAGAAGCTTGGATTTTATTTCCTTGTCACTGAAGATTTGACTGTTCTGCCTGATTTGGAGCCAGCTGTTTCCAGCTGTTACTGAAGTTGGGACCACTCCAGCCTTTATACAGCACTCACTCCATTCCTTGTCTACCTGAATCTGGCTGTTGAAAGTTCACTGGAATCTTACATTCTTTTTTTTTTTTCCTTTTTGAGAGAACAGAGACTTGTGGCTGAGCTTATGACAGATTTTTTTGCTGGGTCATCTCAGCTTACATCCTGGTGATACCTGTTTCATAACTCTTCAGTCAGCATCTCGATATCTCATTTTTTTGGCTACTGAAATTATCCAAAAACACTTAGGAAGAGCAAAATCATTAAGTACCTCTAGCTTAGATGTTTTTCCATGCACACTGGAGGAAGTTATGCTAATTAAACATGCAATTGGGGAAAAGAGAAATAACATGGAACAGTTTTTGCTATTTGTAGTATAAAAGGAAAATATTTTCCAGAGATGATCCCATTATATACCTTATTTTGTATTGGTTTTAAAGTTCAAGCCTTTAGCTTTTTCCTTCTGTGCAATTTTTGTGAAGCAGTTATTTGCCTTTCCCCTTCTTGAGTTTGTGTCCATAATATGTTGAGGCGGATCAGAGTTGGAAGGGAAAAAGAAATGCACAGGAGAAAAAAGTTATTTTCTCTTATAGTTTATCATGTAATTTACGTAGCAGATTTTTTAACTTTAATAATTTATTTGAAGTTAGAAATAACCTTTGATACCATTATTTTATTGTCTAATAAATACTGACTTACCATCAATGGTTTTGCAGACTAGTGAGTCTGTAACATAAATATTAATCACCTTTTTATTAATACTCAAGCAATCATTAGGAATCCAGAAGCAGGCTTCTGAAGCATTTGCTCAATGGTTTTATGGTAGTATATTTTTAGATGAAAAAAATTAATGTGATTATATTTAAGGAAATTTATTCTGTATGATATTTCCAGGTTATAATATGCCCACTCTGAAAACAGTGTGGGGAGTAGGGATTGTTTTGTCTTTCTGTATGAGATATGCTTATGTTCAAGAGACTGCATTAGAAGGGATATCAGAGACCATATATATAACTTTCTATCCAAAGAAGCAAGATTTATGAATTATTCAAAAAGTTATTACTAATTGGGGCATCTATTTGACTTTTTTTTTTGGATTTGGGAAATCTTGTGGAATTGCTTTAAAGACAGTTGGAGTCTCCCAAGAAGATAATGTTTCATCAGTCACATGTAATATGGATCACAAGCATCCAGCTTCATCATCCACTTTATTCAGCCTACCTTTGAGCCAGATAAGTTGAGGAAGTTTTCACCCTCAACAACACACTTGCACCCTAAGGGAGATTATTTTTAAGTATTCCATGTGCTTCCAATAAGTAATGTTCTGCACAATACTGTAAGTGAATGGAACCATACATAGCCTCCAAAAGGATTCTGGCATTTATTTCTGAAAATCAAAATGAATCAGTCACTTAAATCTTAACTATGTTTGTAATATAATGAAATAAATAGTTCTAATAAATGGTTATCAGCCAGTCTTTTGAAGGAATAAAAACGGAATTTTTAGGTGTACATTTTTGTTAGTACTAAATGTACACTCTCATGAGAGGACTTTGTCGTTCTGTAGTGGCTCTGAATGTCTTTATTTGTTGGACTGAGGCAAGCTGTTACTTCCTTTTTTTAAAGGCAGTACTAAAGTTTGAAGCCAGAGACATTCTACCATTGATCTGTGTTCCTACTCCTTTTATTTTACTTTATTTCTTTTCTTTTTTTTTTTTTCATTTTTTCCCTGAGACCTGATGTGGACTCACTATATGGCCCTTAGGCTGGCTTGAACTTGCAAAAATGCACCTGCTACAGCCTCCCAAATGCTGGTATTAGAGGCGTGCACCACCATGCCCAGCTACTTAGTTTTAATTTTGGTATAGGGTTTTACTAGGTTGCTCAGGCTGGGCTCAAATATGCAAGCTTCCTGCCTCAGCTTCTCTAAATTCTGGAATTACAGGAATGTAGCATTGTACCCTGTTGATTAAAGCCATTAAAAATAAGTAAATAAAACTGTCCTATTCTTCTTTATTAGTGATTTTTTTCTGTCCCAGAAAATATGTGGTGTGTGCAGGTCTGTAGACTAATGGAATCCTAAGGCTTCCTAAGAAACTTTCAGAATCACGTAACAAAAGCCTAGTCACTTGGGGTGAGAAATTGCTTTACTAAGCTCAATTTTATTGCTAGCTATGTGTAGCAAAAGTCTTCTTTAAAGCATCAAATACACTTCTTAAACATATAAAAAGTAGAACCTCTTGCTCATGTGTTTCAGGAAAATTAATTTGTATTTTTCTAATGGGGTGGGAATTATTTTCAGTTGCAAAAAAACTTTCCTTCTAAAAAGGAATGACTTTAGATTTTTTTTTGTAACTGTAAGAAGTATTAATGATAGCAAATATGACCTTGGGTGATAGTGCAAGAAAACAACTGAGTAGTACATACAGTATTCATCTTCTCATTAAGATCATTTGGTTTTTTAGTACCTTTTGTGTGGGATAAATATATGTTGTCAGGTGTTTTTTATTCTCAGTCCTAGATGGTGGGGAACAAAATGGGAATGTTCTGCTGGTGGCAGACAAATGCACCAAAATTGCCTGCATAAAGTCGCTTGCTTCTTGTTAAAATTCATGTTTTGGTTTTTTTTTGGGTGGGGGGCAGAACCAGGAATTGAACTCAGGCCCATGTACTTGCCAGGCAAGTGTTTAGTCTACTGAGCTATCTCCCCAACCCTTCTTGTTAGAATTTAATTACAAAAATAGTCTACTTTTAACCTGTCAGTAGTTAACAATTCATAATATAATAATTAATTTTGGGGCAAGAAGAATAGAGAAAACATTTTGACCCTTTTCAGTATTACCAGGTAAGTTTGTGGCACTGCCATTTTAAGGAAGCGAGCAATGCGTGGTAGTGCAGGCCCGTAATCCCAGCATTTGGAGGGCTGAAGTCGGAGGATCACTACCAAGTTTGAGGCCAGCCTGGACTACATAGTGAGTTCAAGGCCAGTTTGAAGTAGGAGGATCACTACCAAGTTTGAGGCCAGCCTGGACTACATAGTGAGTTCAAGGCTAGTTTGAATTATATAATGTAAGACCCTGTCTCAAAACAAAAGTGCAATGTAGGAGCTGGGGATGTGGCTCAGTGGCAGGAGCATGTCCCTAGTATGCCTAGTGTCCTAGGTTCCACCTCAGCCTTTATACAGTGTATAAATAGTAATTTTATTTTATAGAATAAATTAGTGCAAGCAATTTTCATTGTAATTTTAAGATATACTTGTTTGAAAAAAAATTTAAGTATTTATAGAAAACAACATGTTGGTCTACATTTTCTAAAAAAATATAGAGAGGGATAGTGGTGTACGTCTGTAATCTCAGCATTTAGAAGGTTGAGGCCAGTCTGAACTACCTAATGAGTTCAGGGCAACCTGAACTACATAGTGAGACCCTGTCTCAAAGAAAACAAAAAAGTAATAAAAAGATACAATTGTTAATAGATCTCATATGCAAAAAGAAATTCTTGGATATTGGTATACACAACTTTGAGTAAAGTCTGGTTGTTTCTTGTGGAGGAACAATAGTGAAGGTGAACTAGTTTAATACTGTAGTAATGATATAGTCTAGTTGTTTCAACTTTAGTTATGGAGTCATCTTTTAAAAATAGTTACACTGAAGCCCAGCATATAAAACAGACATATGTTCTTTAAGTTGAACAAGGCATAGATGGCCTGCAGCAGTGCTTGGTATACTTATTCCCTCCTATCCCAGAATCCTCTTTGAAAATCAGTAATGCAGTGAAAAGAAGGCACAGGCTTTTGATTAAAGTAGCTTAGTATTTATTAGCAATGTGAACTAACAGTTCAAGTTGCTTATCAAAGCCAAAATTTTCCTCATCTATAAAATGGGGATAATAACTACCTCATAAAATTGCAAGCAATACCGCTGGCAGAAATGTGACATCATCATTTTCTTACTCATCATAAATTTGAAGCATGAATCCTTATTGGTATTTTTTAAAAATCCAAATGTTTGAAATGCTGCAAACTCCCAAGAATATATGCTTTTCTTTAAGTAGACCCTTTGTGTGAATTGAGTGATCATTTTTAAAGGACTGTTATAGGCACTCACTTGGTGCTTCCATTTTTTTCAGATGTATCTGCTTAGTATTACAGTGGCAAACTTTTAAAAAGGTTGCTGCTATTGTCTAGGTATTTAAGTCAAGTGTTTAGAACTCGTATGTATATTTTATAGCTAAGATTTAGAATTAATGCAGAAGTTGGAACCTAAAACATTTTAAATTATTTGCTTACTAGTGTTTTGCAAAATTCCATGTAGTTCCTATAATCTATACACACTAATCAAGATCTGTCTTAGGCACTCTTATGTCTTTCTTCTAGGCTTTATAGCTGTGAAATTTAAGGAAACTGGGACAAAAGTATTTTGAGAAATGAAGTTGTTAGTGAAGCTTCTATAAAGATTTGATTTGTTTTTAATATCAGTAAAGTTCTGTCAGGTAATACAATGTTGAAAGCCTTTGTTGAAATAAAATGCTACATATGACCCCACTGTATAGAGATAAAGTACAACTAGTGTGGTTGAAACAAGGAGAGTGGAACTCTTTCCTCAGTCTAAATTTAATACCTTCTTTGAAAACCAGACAGTAACAGTAGTAAAATCAATAAGCTTTAGGCTAGAAAAGCTGTATAATCTATATAGACTATTAAATCATTAAGGTTTTTTGTTTGTTTGTCAAATGGTGTCTTGCTGTGTTGCCCGGGCTGGCCTTGAACTACTGATTAGCTGGGACTACAGCTGTGTGATTTAAGTGATGAGCCTTTTTAATAGCCAAGTTGGGATTGAAAGAAGAATGGATTAATTTCAAAAGTAATAGTTTGTACTGTTCTATATTGTTTTCTAAATGCTTGTATTCACATTTACATTTCTGTTGTCAATATTCCCCTTCCCATGGGCTGCTAACCTTCAAGCTAGTGGATGCTGTGCATGGTCTTGTGGTAAATTTTAAGGAGATGGCAGGAGTATTTTTAAAACCAATTGAAAAGACAGTTCATTTACCCAGTCATTTTGAAACAGTTTTGAAGCACCTTGTACCCATGTGCCAGTTCTTGGGTGGGAGGAGAGCTGAAGCCCCAGTCAAGGCTTTGCCTCTTGGCTCAGTGCAGCAGCTTCCTCTTGGTGCCTCTCTACTCTGCATGACCCATGGTGTTCTGGTAGCAGTGGGAGAGACACTGAGATCCAACATCTTTAAAGTTGGTGGGTTTTTTTGGAATCGGATGTTTTTCCTAATTCATTCTTGTTTACTCTTTAATCCCTCTTTCCTCCCTCTTCAAATCTTTATTTGCTTAATCACTAATATGTCTTTGTTTAATATTCATTGTATTACCATTGCTCTTAATTTTTTAAGCTTTGCAAAATATATGCATACAAATGGTAAAGTATTGCTTATGTGAAGAATGTGGCAATAAATATATTTGGAAAAACCTAGTCTCTGTTTAAAAAGCAACTTTAAGACAGGGTCTTGCTATGTAGTTTACACTGGTCTTGAACTCATTACTTGAACGTGCAGTGAACCTCCTTCCTCAGCTTCCTGAATGCTGGGATTACAGGGGTGTGCAGTCATGCCCAGCCTCAAAGCATTTTTTGGTGTATGAACTACTAACTCAATTTTGTGTCCATAAGAGCTTTTCACCTTAATCTTTGGCAGCTTTATATGCCAGCTATGGCCAAAAGGGAAGGCAAACAACTGCACAGGATTTCCTTACTGAAGGGGAGCTATGCTACAGGTCACAGGAATAAACACACAATCTGGAGAGGGCTGTATTTACATTGACAAAACACACTGATTTTTGTTTCCTGTTGTCATTATTGCTTGATTCCTTTTGCTCTTGGCCTTCTAAAATCTGCAAATATGTCATTCTAAGAATTTTCTGCCTCCATTGGAGGGAAATGGAGTTAAAATTTGTAAAGAAAGTATGTTTTTATGGCAAAACTGGAGAGGGTTTGGAAGCAGAATGGACACCCTATTACTTCAAATATGGCTCAAGTACAACCTCTCCAAGATTCAGGTGTTGCCAATGTGATAGTCTGAGGGAGTGGGGCCTCTTAAGGGGTAACTAGGTTTTGAGGCCTCCTCCCTCCAGAATGGGACCTAAGGCCCTTTTCAAGGGGTTTTCCCCTAGGTTTGGCTCTTCCCCTTCCTCCTGCTGTGTGAGAAGACAGCTTTCCTCCTTTCTAGATGCAGCCTCTACCAACCCACCAGACCTACTGGCACCTTGGTCTTTTATAGCCTGTGGAACTCTTGAGAATTCAGTCTGTTCCACAGAGCCCCTGTTTCAGGTAATCTGATCCAGTGGGTGACTAAAATTTTCCTCCAGAGAATCTACTCAATTTTTTTTTTTAATCTACTCAGTTGTGATGGTGACTGGGTCCACTGTGCTTGTACCTGACTCTGCGGCACACTTTCCTCTGAAGCATACAGCACACCAGCAGGCAAGGTGTACTCTTCATTCACCTCTGTGACCTAACTGGACCCATCTGCTTCCCCAGAGACAGAAGGGACAGGCCCTTCATAAATTAAACATGCCAGATTGTTGGACTTAGAGGTGTGGCAGTTTTCTTGATGAAAGTTTAGTCTTGTCCCTTTTGACTCATTGATGCATGTGATTTATATAACTGGTACACTTAAGCCACATCGTAAACTTAAACCATGAGAAAAATCACTGAGTGCCATACTCCAAGGTTGGCATGATCAGTGAATTTGCTGTCTGTAGGAGCCCAATTTGTGTGATGAAAAATACGAATTTACTCACCATATTACTACTGTGCACCAGCTACAGGGCTGTGCACTAAAGATACTTCTGAACAAGGTAAGCTATTTCTTCTGTAGGCACACCATGTGAATTGAAACAGAACTTGGCACTCTGTGCTAAGGGTGTTTAATGGTAAGAGTACTTTCATGGCAAGCATGAACCCTGGTTTAAATCCCAAGAACCACACTAAAACAAAAAACCTGGGACAATACCAGGAACCAAAGCCAAAAAGTGAAGGCATCATTTCGGTTTTAGGGACTGCCCTTGTGTAGAAGTTATACTAGAAGCTACTTTCAGTCAGTGCTTGCTTGAGCAGTACCTCGATTTCCTTTCTTACTGTCTCCTTTGAAAAATGTGTAATTGATACTTCTTTTTGAGGCAGAGTACTCAGGCTGGCCTTGAACTCACTTTGTACCCCAGGCTGGTCTCAAGTTCCCAACAATCCTGCCTCACCCTCCTGAGTGCTCGGATTATAGGTGCGTGCCACCATACTTGGCTGATACCTTCATTTTTAAGTTATATTAAATCCAAACTGATTTACTTCCTTTTTAGACTCCTTCAAGGAGTTTGCATGCTATTTTACGACCACAGATGTGTGTCCACATATTTAGAAAATGAGTGAATACAAAGGAGCTAAGTACAAAAATACCCCATCCCCCGAGATGTTTAGTAAGCACACTGGCTTTCTTCTGAAAGTTGATGTTAAAGTAGCTCTGAGAGTGGGCCAAGATCAACAAGCACAGCTAGCCCTACTGACAACTACAACACTTGCTGACTGACTGATGGATCCCATTGTGGATGTTGCCTATTGAGGGCTATTTTGCTGTTGTTTTGTATATTTTGAGAGAGGGACCACTGTGCTTATATCCCGGGGGACCTCAAACTTAGTGATGAGATTGTAAGTACACACTATTGGGCCCAGCATTGATTTTTTTTTTTAATTTTTAAAATATTTTTATTGAGAAATAGCAATAAGACAGTTTCACAACTGATTACTAGTACATTTTCAATAATTAATACATTGCATGTTGTCTTAGCATTGATGTTTCCTATTTAGTAAAATTCATAATTCGTTCATCTTACACTTTGCTATGGAATTTTCATAAAAGACTTCAATTTTACCTTATACTTTTGGGATTCCCTTTGTTGAACAGGCAGGTAGACGGTGGAACACAAGTTTTGTGGGTGGGGATCCAAAACAACATGTGTTCTTAAAGACATGAATAAATTTATGTTAGGCCTCACTCCCAAAGCAGTGCCACAGAGTAATGACTTTTGTATCTTTCTTTTTTTTTTCAGTACTAGGGATTAAACTCAGGCCCTTGCGCTTGCCAGGCAAGTGCTTATTCTACTGAGCCATCTCCCCAGCCCCTACAATCTTAGGACATCTTAAGGTTATATGTATTGTTTCTTCTGCTGGGGGGGGGGGCACCTTGCCTTCTAATTCCAGAACAAGGCATAATGCATTCCTGCTGCCAAAGCCTAAAGCCGATAATAGGGTAGAAAATGTTATTTAATTAAAGATCCTTCTGCCTTGGACTGGGCCTGGTTTAAATTACCTTTCAGTTTTCCTTTTTTGGGGGTGCAGTGTTTGCTGAGGATTGAACTTTGGGCTCATGCTTGCTAGGCTTTACCACTGAGCTAAATTCCTAATCCCTCAAATTTCTTTTGTAAGTTCCTTACATAATTAAAAGCCCATGAGGAAACTGTCTAAAGTGGATATGAAGATATTTTGCAATTCTAAAGTAACTTCTAAGTAAAATGTTGGTGTCGTAATTATTCCAGTACCCAAATATATCTAAACTCATACTCAGTGCAGATGCCTTCTCCTTAAAAGCATAATTATCTGTCTACTTTATAATAAATTTTACCTTTACTTTATGGCTTGTGTCTTTTTTTATGTATTTAGTACAGGGTCTCACTACACAGATCCGACTTGTAGTGATCCTGTTTTTCAGCCTCCCAAGCCTCCCAAGCGCTGGGTTTACAGGCACTTGCCACCACTCCCAGTCTCATTTGAAGTCTTGAGCCCCAGCGGCGGGGCCCCCAATCCACTCCAGCTGTGTGTCTTGACTGAATTCTTTTATTAAGGGCACCAAGGACCAAGGAAGTGAGGGGTAGTTTCCCACTAATACCTTGGCATAAAGTTATGAGAAAAGCTTGCCCAAGAGTAACAACTGTAATCTTTAACAAATGGTTGTCTTGTAAAGTGTATGCTACCCGTTTTCACTGGCCATTGGCTGAGAGCTTCAGAATCCTACAATCTATAAATGGTTAGCTTCCATTTCCACCTAGATGTCGCAGTAGTACTGCCAACTCAGGATGACCACAAGTCTTGACACAGAGTCCTCCTACTCTTATTCTTATGGTCTATATGGTCACATAGTTTTGCAAGACAGAAAGAAAAGTAATTTTTTTTTCCCTTCAAGATGGTGTTACTCTTTCCTTCGCTGGTCTCTACTCCTGGCTCAAGTGATGCTCCTGTCTCAAGCTTCTAACAAGCTTGGACTACCAGGCACCACCACCAAGTGCACTGAGAAGTAATTTCTCATGGCATTTTCTTCACATTACAGATCACTTCCTAACCCTTTTCTGTGTGTCTCTTGACTGTTCATTTCTCTCTTTACCAACACCCTAACTTAGAATTTTTGAACTGGGTTAAAAGAATGTAAAAGATAGGTCCCTTTGATCTTCTTGCACCTGAAGGCTTGATAAACTGCATGGACTGAAACTGTGTGTGGGACCTCTTAAGTTCCACAGTGGCTGTGGTTCCCAACTATACCGTGACAGTGTGGCGGAGAGTGGCAACACACTGGGGACAATTACCCTTCATCTACTTGTGCTTGCCTTGCCTGCCACTTGTCTTTGAGTATTACCGTCCTTAAAGAGAGTGCAGGGCCAGCTTCTCCCTGAGCAAGGCCTTGTGGCCTGCACAAGCCAGGGTCGTTGGAGAGCTTATTGCTAACACTTGTCTTGAACCCTTGGCCTGTATTACCCATTGTCACTAGTTGGGAAACCCAAACAGCTGGTACTCAGAAGCATACTGAAGGCATTTATCCACCGACTTTGTACTAAGGAATGTGACAACTAAGTAAGTGTTTTCTCTTTTGAAGTTCATTTTATAGAGTAAAGGCAACAAGATGATGAAATCCCACAGACATTTATTTGGCATTAAATTTGTCTTAACACGAAATGATCCTTAGTGCGCAATCTGCGCTCTGGGGAAAGAAAGGCCAGGGCGCCAGAAGCGGAGTGGGAACGCGGTCTCAGCTGGGTGGAAATACGCTCATCGTATTGTTCTGAAAGTCGGGTCTTTAAGCATGAAGACCCAAGGATTCCACCTATCTGGGTCGGGCCGTGTAGGTTTCTTCCCCGCGTGGGGGACTAGGAACGCCTTTCTTCATTCTCAGGGAAAGGCAAACGTGTTCCTACGGAAGCCGGCCAAGGTTCAGGCGAAAGCCTCGTCTGACAGGAAGACAGCTTTTGGTCACCCAGTGTTTCCGAATCTGGCTTTTAGAAAAACATGCAAAAAACAAAAAAGGACAGAGAGTCACAAGTTGTTAAACTGCCTCAAGTCACATCCCGGAGGGGCCACTAAGCTTTTTCTGTTCGGGGGAACCCTCTGGCGCCTGCAGATCCGCAGCCCTGGGATCTAGACATTGGGATTCCATGACAACGACCCAATTAGCCATTTTTGTTCTCTATTTCTATTAAACCTAGGCTGTGACTTAACATACGCCGAAAATACGAAAGAGAGGATTTTCTACCTGTCCCTCCCCTCTGCCGGCACCGCCGAAGACAGCTCCTACTGAGGGTTGCTGGCGCCCGGGGTCCTGGGTTTCCATGACGACGCAAAGTGTTTGGGGAAAGGCGAATCCGCTAGCGCCTGGCGGGAAATACGATTTACTGGTGGCAGGTTGCAAGGGTCTGTTTCCCGTCGGTTTAAATGAAGAAACGACGCGAGCCCTCACCCTGCTAGATCTCCGAGTCCATGGAGCTGTCGTGCGCGAGGGCACTGCTTGTGAGGAAGGTTGGGGTCCCGAGCTGACCTGCCACAGCCCTGCGGGCGGCCCACGTGTGGGGTCCACGGGAGGGTGGGCGGGTGTGGCTCTCCCGGTCTCTGACCCGGACCTGCACGCAGCCACAACCTTCTTAAATCAGGTCAGAAGACCTGAGAGACCACAGAGGTCTCCAAAAGAAGGAAAACTACGCTAAATGAGTTCTGAAACCTCGATGTAAACATAAGCACTTTATTGTTGAAACAGCCACTTAAACTGAGCTAAGGGACAGGCCCCAACATAAGCACTTTAATGGACTCCCTTTTTTGTTTTGTTTTGCCTGTAGGACAATGTAGTAGCCTAAAAGTGCCAGTACCACACTGATTTCTGAGTCAGCTTTCTGGAAGAATATTGGACATTACTAAAAAAGAGTAAAAGGAAGCATTATCATGTCACTCCCGAAAACATCCGCACCGTTAAGCTCCGTAGCATCATATGAGCGAACAAAATCAAAAGTATCTGCAGTTAAGGAGATGAAAGGTAAATGTTTGAGGCCATCCTGGGCTACATAGTAAACTAAAGGCCAGCCTGAGCTATATAGTAAAACCCTATCTCCAAAGGAAAACTACAGATCAGTGCAGATAGAATAAACATTTGCAAGTTAGTACAAAATGACTGTGTCAGATTTTAGTAGTTTTTCTACATTAATCACAGTACTGTGGGAGGCTGAGGGAGAAGGATGGAATATTTAGAGCCAAAACTTGGTAATTTAGCAAAACCCTGTCTCAAAATTTATTTATTTTAAGGGCTGGGGATGTAGCTTGGGGAAGGTCCTGAGTTCAAATTCTCAGTATTTCACCATACAGATAGATATATAGATACAGATATAGATCTTACTTGAATACGAATCAATTAGAGCCATCCTTACTCATATTAAGTGAAAGCTCAACCAGCCTCACCTTCTCCAGATTTCAGGAGAGATTTTGCTAAGGCCCTACCTGGCACTTCCCTCCTCCCTTTTCTTTCTCTGTCACTGTTAATCCCCCAATTTGTGACTACATACCATATGTAGCAAAAAGGATTTTGTAATTGTGCTAAAGGTTCAGGACCTTGACATGGACAGATTGTCCTAGTTTGTCAGAGTGAATCCAGCCTAATCATCCGAGTCTTTGACAGTGGAAAAGATAGTGTCTTTCTCTCATCTTATAGAAATTAATGTAAACCATACAATGTGGGAAGCATTAAGAATGGTGGCAACCCAACTCCACTTGACTGAATTCATAGAAGGCCTTTTCCAATATCAGTCCTCCTACCCCCTTTTTTCATTCTTCTGCCTGACTAAAGCTGAGCAGAAATATATTTACAGTTTTTGTTCCATTGATTTGCTTAGATTGTTCCACTCTTAATTTCCAGTGATTCCTGTTCCACTTTTAATTTTTAGGGAGAGGGGGCTGGAAAATGAACCCAGGGTTTGGTGAATTCAAATTAAGCACTTTATCATGAGACATAGTCCAGCTCCAACTTTTATTTTAAACCCAACTCAGATCCCCCAACCTCAATTCAGTGCAATTATTTTCATTTTTAAATTTATATAAGAAGCTAGGGTTGTAGCTCAGCAGCATAAACACCTGCCTGACAAGTGATAGGTCTCAAGATCAAAACCTGGGAGATGACCCGGGGCCCTCCGGATCCTGGACAGACCCAGAGCTCAGGCCCAGCGAGTGAGTGAGACGACCAGGGCCTTCCGGATCCTGAACAGACCAAGAGCGCAGGCCAGGCAAGTGAGTGAGACGACCCAGGGCCTTCCAGATCCTGAACAGACCCAGAGCGCAGGCCCAGCAAGGAACCCTTCAGCAGAACTCCCTGCAAAGAGGCTAGAGGCAAGACCCACCCAGCTGATTCAGGAGCAGAACATCTTGCCAGAGAGACACAAAGGGTTCAACTCTAACGGCTGCAGCAGAAAGAAGTGGAGCACAGCAGCCAGATCCAAACAACACCCACCTGGAGAAATCCGAACTTCATAGATCCGGACCTGGTGCTAAGGTAACTCTATCTAAGCTCTACACCAAAGGTCAGAAGACAGGTATACAAAATGACAAAGAGAAGGAACAAAATGCAGTCTCAGGCCCCAAGTCCACCCAGTACAAATACAGAAGACACTAGCACTGAGGAAACTGGAAATTACACACCAGATATCTCTGAAATAATAGCATTGACAGTAGAGAATCAACTGCAGAAAGGTATACAAGAAATAATTTCGGAACTAAAAAATGTAGTGGTAACTATAGTCAAAGAAGTACTAAGTGCTTCTAAATAATACACTGACAAAAAATAGAGGAGAATATAAAAATGATGGAACCCCTAAATAAACAATTTAGGAAAGAAATAGAATCTATGAAACAGGTTCAAAGTGATATGCAGGAAATTAAAACCTCAATCACAAGCTGGCAAAACCGTTTGCGTGAAAGTGAAGATAGACTTTCTGACCTGAAAGACACCATTGCAGCTAGTGAAAAAGTAAAAAAAGATCTCTTTAAAACAACTAGGATGCAGGAAAAAATAATTCAATACCTGCAAGAGATGATGCAAAGATGAACAATGTGAGACTAATGGGCATCAATGAGAAGGAAGGAGTCAATACAAATGATATAAAAAGAATATGGGCAGAAGTAATAGCAGAAAACTTCCCAAATATGGGACAACAATCTGACATTCCTGTAACCGAAGCATATAGAACTCCAAATAATATCAATCCATTGAAAACCACACCCAGACATATAATAGTCATGATTCCAGAAATTCAGCATAGGAACAGTATACTAAAAGCCGCTAAAGAAAAGAAACAGATCACATTTAAAGGAAAACCCATCAGAATAACGGCAGATTTTTCTTTACAAACCATCAAGTCAAGAAGAGCATGGAGCAAAGTACTTCAAGTCTTGCAAGAAAACAAATTCCAACCCAGACTGATCTATCCTGCAATACTATCTTTCAAATATAATGGAGAAGTGAAATATTTCCATGACAAAGAACAACTAAAGAATTTCATGATGACAAAGCCAAGCCTACACAGACTACTAAATGATGTCCTAGAGAGGGAGCAAATTGATTACAGCCCCATGAATGAGAATGGAAAGAACCTGCCAAATAGGGCAAATAAAGAGGAGAATAAGAGATATACAGTAGTAATCTTTCAGTTCTTCTTTTGTATTCAGCAGCAGAATATTTCCTTTAGCACACCCTACAAATGGACTTCTCTTCCACCCTATAGGTCACAATTCCACTTGAGTCTACAGGGTGGATTTCAAAGAAATAGCTGTAGCTCAGTTCCACAAGTGACGCCTAGCCACCAGTAACTGTCACGGTTATTTTGCATGTCCACAACACATTAGAACTTTGTGTAATATCCTATCCTCAAACTGTTAGAAGTGCTGGTCATTTACTTGCCATTCCAGTATTTATCTTATGTTTTACTCTTAGTACTTCTTTGCTATCATGAAAACTTTTTCTTAGTTCAATTGTTTTGAAACATTTAATTTTCTGAATATTGCTTAATCTTAATTTTTGTTCTAAGATTTATACTGTATCTTTGACTTACAATTTATTTAAAAAGACATTGTATGATATCTTCTCCTAGTATTAGAAACCTTAAAAAGTATATTTCCATTTTCTGTTGACTTCAAAAAAAGGTTTGTACCTATGTTATTTGCTTATTATTTCTTGCCTATATCTTGTAATATGAGAAACTACTTTGGCAATAACAATACACAATGTACTAATTGTTACTCTCCTAAAATCTTGTTTTGAGATTTTGTACCACTGTTTTTTATTTTTTTTCTTTAAAATAAAAATAACTGATGTCAATTAAAAAAAAATTATATCCAGCTGTCAAAAGATCCCACTGTTGGTTGGGAAAGAACCAGGTAGGGAGGATTGGTGATCTGTTCAAATAAGTATGATGATAAAACCAACTGATTCCAGAAGGCAAACTATGTACATTTCTCCATGGATTCTATAGAGCCCAGCATTGTTCCTATCAAAAAATACTTTGTTGAATAAATGCTCAATCAGTAAGTGAAAAAAAAAACAAGATCAAAACCTGGCACAAAAAAAAAGAAAAGAAAAGTAAAAAGAGAAAAGAAAAGAATGCTGAATAATTCAGCAGATGAATTATTTTGTTTTGTTTTTGTTTTTTGTTCGTGAGACAGGGTTTTGCTATGCCATTCAGGCTGGGCTTGAACTCACTTTGTAGCAGACCAGGGTACCCTTGAACTCTCAGGTCATCTTGCCTCAGTCTCCCGAGGACAAGCAGTTTGGAGGAGAGATTTCTTTTATCATTTTCACATCAGAGGAAAAACATGTTCATTCCCATCATTTTAAGGCTCTACCCGTTAACTAAGTGAAGTGGGTATAATTTTCAACTTTGAATTTGATACAGTTCCGGTTTATCTTTGTACCTGAGGTTTTGAATCTGTGATACGTGAATAGGACAGGCCATATATTTCTCTTATGCAATGTTTTAAGTATTTCTTGTTATTATTTTTGTCTATTAGAAGGAGTGTTTCTCTCTTTTATAAACAGACAAACAGGGCATGGTGGTACACAGCTGTATTCCCAACACTTGGGAGGCTGAGGCAGGAGGATCATGGCAAGTTCAAGGCCAACCTGGGGATAAAGTGAGTCCAGGCTAGCCTGAAGTACATAATGTAACCCTGTTTCAAACACAAAACCAAATTCCCAGAGAAACAAAGATGATGAAGCATTCTGGGATGCTCCAACCAAAAGCTATAGTAAGAGCCTTTCATTCTCATTGCTTTCTTAGGACTTCCAGAGATAAGAGAGAAAAAAAATATGGTGGATCATTCCAAACCTCTTCCTATACCCCTTCAGAATGAGTTCATCCCTGAGGAGGTTCTGCTTTCTCTCTCCTATGCAACCAGTGCTGGTCCTTGTCCTGAAAATCTGCTTCCTCCTAAGAAAGTTAAAACCACAAAGGTG